TATGTGTGTAAAACTGAAGTAAAATGTAAAAATGTAAAAAAAATCACCATTTACCACGTGTACTTTTACCCCTCCGTTTACCTTCCCTTCCAATTATTAATTCATCCATGGCCGCCGCCCAAAGTTTTCTCGTAACACAGCATATCCTCAGATGGAAAAACCACGTGTACCACCACTCTCCTCAATTCTCCGCTCACACTTCCAAAAATCTCACCGTCAAATGCTTTTTCCCGAACAACAAGTTCGCCTTTCCGAAAATCGAAATCAACACAAAACCTGCTGAAATCAGCGGCGGCGATGAAGACGGCGGCTGGTTCAAGTCGCTGTGGTCAATGCTGCCGTCAAGGCCGTCGAAGACCGTCAATTCCGTCAACTCCGACACCAATTCCGTCAGAGTCTCCGTCGTTTCCACCGCTACAGTCGCCGTCGAGAAACCGCCGTTCGAGGTCACCGGAGCAGCCGGCGGAGGGTCGAGAGTTTACGTTACTATGACTGCCGTTGCCGTTCTTGTTTTAGTCTTGGGGTTCGTGTCTAGGGTTTTCCGGAAGGGTACCGCCATTACAAGTGTGCTCAAGCTGCAGGTATTATTACCGATTGGATTATTTAATTTGATTACTATATTTTGCAATTTATTAGAGCAACTCCAAATCCAATGCTAAACATCAAAATTGAATTATCAAATACTCATTTAATAATTAGGATAATATTATAATATTCATTTACAGTTTATCTACTCCAACCATAATTATGAAAATTAATAGTCAATTAGAAGTTTTTTAGTGGTTTTATTTGTAACTGCCACGTGTCATTTTGTGATTGGATGTTTATGTGGTTCTTTTTTTATAACTCAATTTGCAGGATGCATTTTCATATACAAAGAGGTAGAATATCAAAATATTTACCTATTTTGGTACTCATTTTGATACTCCCATTGTAGTAGAATTTTTTTATTTTGGCATATCAAAAAGGTGGTCTATGAGTTTGATAATCCATTTGATACTCCCATTGGAATCGCTCTTAGTGTCGATTGAAAATGTATCAGCCAATTAATCGAAAATGTGAGAGGGCTATTACAATATTAGATGAACCATTTAATATATATAGAGTAAATTACGACCACTACTAAGGTATGGTCAAATTACCAAAAAAATACTTCATGATTTGGTAATTACAGCCACCCCTCAACTACGAATCGTTTTACACATACGTCAAATTTAGTGGAATCTTCTAGATTATGTTGAATCTTCTCCAGTTTGTACCCGTTTTACTCATTCAAGCTTCACATTTTAAAACAATGTTTTATGATCATAAGATGTGTCTCTTGGCTTGTAAATATCAGATTGTGGTGCATCGAAAACTGTATTTTTACATTTTTACACAAAACGAAAACGAATACAAATTAGAGAACATTCTACGGAATCTAGAAGACTGTGTCGAATTTGACACTATAAGGGTGGGGTTGTAAGAAGACTCGTAGTTGAGAGGTGGTTGTAATTACTCAAACATGAGTGGTTTTTTTCGTAAATTGACCATACCTCATAGGGGTGACTATATATATATATATATATATATAATTTTTTTTATTTTTCTTCTGGAAATCATGTTTTGGTGAGAAGTTTTGTAATTATCTTGAGTACGATCACACCATGCACTGCTGTAGAACCGTTTTTGCGCTGTTTATCAAAATCTTCGTACACTCTATTTTCATTTAATTACAACTCTGTTTTATCTCTTTATTTGTGCAAGGTCGGGTTATTGGCCTCGGCGAGGTCACTCCAAATGGATATCAACCAAATCGCCGAAACTGCTGATACATCAACCTCAAAGGGCTTACATCGCTTATTGAGTGGTAAGTGGTAACAGTTAAATGTGTCATCAGATTATTTCTTAGCCATTCATTATTGGTTCTTCTAGCTATAATAGTTTCCGTCTTTTATCTTTTTGAGTATGAAGTATACGATCCATTTGAATCTAGTATAAACACACGATACGGAGAGCTTTTCGCAGATCTATCGTTTCCAATTTATTTTCCCAATGTTATGTACTTCAACAAAATATTCCTTCCTTGTTCTTATTTTTGTATTTCCCGACAATGCCTATTTTTTATTTTTTTATTTTTTTGTTTTGTAAAATCGATTAACACAAATTAATTTCTTCTTGGTTGCAGAGACAATGCCTATTTTTTATTTTTTTATTTTTTTGTTTTGTAAAATCGATTAACACAAATTAATTTCTTCTTGGTTGCAGAGACAGTGCTAGCTTTGCTTCAGCATCCTGAATATTGCATCTCCACCTATTCATCAGTAAGTCAAAAAATATGAGTGGAGTGCCTAAAGATATAGTCAACGTTCTTGTTTTTAATGCTAGTGTATGAAAGTTATTATTCTCTGGGTAAATTACACCCATACCCTTGAGGTATGCTGAAATAACTTTAAGGTCCCTGTTGTATAGGTAATTACACTCACCCCTGAAACGAAACATAGTTAGAAATTCTAACGGGATAATGCATTAGATATGTTGTTCCAATAGAGTTCTAACGGACTATTACTTTTAGTAAGTGGTAGAGACAACATAGAGATAGGGGGTGAAATGGCTCCCTCAACATTTCTTAAAGTTATTTCATCATACCTGAGGGGTGTGGGTGTAATTTACCCTTATTCTTCTTATGGTAAATTACAGCCACCCCCTGATGTAAGATCAAATTACGAAATACTCCCTCATGTTTGGGTAATTACAACCACCCCTCAACTATGAATCTTCTTACACGTTCACCCTCGTGGTGTCAAATTTAGTGAAATCTTCTAGATTATGTGGAATATTTTCCAGTTTGTACCTGTTTTACCCCATTCGAATCCCATATTTTGAAACAAGATGATCATAAGATGTGTCTCTTGGGCTTGTAAATATCAGATTGTGGTGCATCCGAAACTGCATTTTTACACAAAACGAGTACAAACTAGAGAACATTTCACGGAATCTAGAAGATCATGTTGAATTTGACACCATAAAGGTGGACGTGTAAAAAGATCTATAGTTAAGGGGTGGTTTATAGTTAAGGGGTGGTTGTAATTATCCAAACAGGACGGGGTTTTCGTAATTTGACCTTACCTCGGCGGTGACTGTAATTTACCCTACTTTTTTATTTATTCCGTGGCGTATAATAATTTAGTGATATTACTTTCTTTTATTAAGACAATCGTTAAGTTGACCTGTTTGACATGCAGACTGATTTAAAGAAGACCAAGGAAGAAGGTGAACAGAGATTCTATCAGGTTTCTACCGAAGAACGTAGTAAGTTTGATAATGATATATTCATCAACGTAAAGAACCTGAGAGCAAATGGATTTAGCAACGAGTACAAAGTGGTAAGATTCTATGCTTGGTTTTGTTGCATACATGTTTCCGAACAAGGTCTTAATAAATTCGAGCAGAAAAAAATGGAATATACGGTTGAATTTATTAAGACCTTGTTCAGATAAACTGAATAGCATCGTTTCGGTTCTATCCATAAATGAATTAAGTTACTCTTAAAGCTATCAATATTTAATATAGAGCAAATTATGGCCACCGCTGAGGTATGGCCAAATTAGGAAAAAAAACTCCTCTTGTTTCAGTAATTACAGCCTCCCCATCCTTTTAAATATTTTTGCATAAAATTTATGTAATTCAGTTATTTATCGAACCAAATCGTACATTTAATTCGGTAAACAGTATGAAATGTTGGCGTAAATTTGCCTCTGGAGGGGTCTTTTAGTAAGATAATACATAGTTGAGGGGGTGTCTGTAATTACCCAAACATGAGGGGGTTTTCATAATTTGACCATAACTCAGGGGTGTGTCCGTAATTTGCCCTTTAATATATTGCACTGAAGAAGCTACATTTTAAGATGTATAACTCACTGTTTACATTATTACATTTTAAATATATTGATACCGATTCTTAGTCTTGGCTTCGATTCTTAAATTTAATTTAAGGTTCTCACACTTTATTTCTCACGCTTCATTTACCTTATTCTCCTCGTGACTTTTATTTTTTCAATAACATAACAAATTTTCAGATGACAATATTAGTGGCTGCCGGAGGAGCATACAAACTGAGGTCGATCAATAACAGAAACGATTTGAAAGAAGCTTTAAAAAAATTAGTAGCTATCCCATCAAGTCAAATGCTGGTAAGTACAGAAAATATTTACTCGAAAAATGCCTAGTTTTTGCATTCTTTCCGTTTTCCGATTTTGACCCTGTTTCTTGATTCAGGCAGTGGATGTGCTGTGGACCCCACGATTCGAAGACGACACTCTTTCTGAACGAGAACTGCTCGAAGAGTACCCCTTGTTAAGGCCTCTTTGAAAGATGGTATCGAAGCATTTGTTCACAAAGATGTGTAAATGTGCCCCTTATATAATTCAGATAAGATTTTTGTTTAGAAACAAAGGCAATTGTGTGTATATGAAATAGAGACACTTTTATATAGGTGATTAGGATTATATTCTAGGGCAAATTATAGTCAAATTAAGAAACCCTCCTTCTGTTTGGGTAATTACAGCCAACCCTCTCAACTATGTATTGTCTTACGAAAAGATCCCTACAAAGGTAAATTTAGGGATGTTAATTCGGTAAAACCGAACCGAAATTTCGCAATGACAACATTCATACCGTTTACCAAACTAAATATACGATTTGGTTCGGTAAATAATCGAATTACATAAATTTTATGTAAAAATATAATTATCCAAACAATGGGTGTTTTTTTCGTAATTTGGCTATATCTTAGGGGTGACCATAATTTGCCCTTTATTCTATTACTAGGAATCTATTCGATTAGGTAATTCTTGTTCTTTACGTCACAAGATTTGTGTCTGTCTTCTGCCAAAAGGCCCTTGGATTCGACACAAATCTCGTATACATTATCAATTTTATAATAACAGTACACTTAGGTTAATACTTCAAAAGTAAATTAAGTAACAAAATTTATTGTTGAAATAGGAATGGTCCAAAAAAAAAAAAAAAAAAAGCTGTTTTATATATACACACTTGGTTCTTCTAAAAGTACATTTACTTTTCAAGCTCAATATTTTTCTATATTACATTATAAGGACACATTTATGTATATTTGTGTACAAAACATTGAATCATCAAAGTGGTTTTTTTTTCCTTTACACAAGCCTCTCTTTCACATCTCTTACAAAGGCCGCAATAGTGGGTAATCTTCCAGCAATTCTCGTTCCGATAGAGTGTCGTCTTCGTTTTGTGGGGTCCACAGCACTTCAACCGCCTGCATCAAGGTGAGGCATAATGAGACAAAAAAAAAAAAAAATTAAAATTAAAATTAAGTAATGTTGGTTTAAATGTTTTAGGAGACATTTCTTTTTACTGCATCAGTCAAATTATATTTGCGCACAATTTTAAAAGATTTTCAAATCTCAATTCCGGACATAAATTGGAAGATGAACGAAACCGACTTATACTATATCGTAACAGGAGGAGAGAGAATTCAAAAGCTTTCCGAATATAATAGCCATATTTGCTTACCATAGTTCTACTTGACGGGATAGATGCCAATTTTTGTAAAGCTTCTTTCAAATCTTTACTGTTATTTATCGACGGCAATTTGTGTGCTCCTCCGGCAGCCACCAATAAGGTTATCTGAAATTCGTAGACAGAACCGAAAATAAATATTATTCTATCAATCAAACGAAACGAAGCATGTTCTAAATCATTCTCTTTAAAAAAAAAATTTCTCGTAAACAAGAGTGCAATAAAGCCTTACAACTATGTACTCGTTGCTAAATCCAGTTGCTCTCAGAATTTTCGAGCTTTGCTTCTTAATGTTGTTGACGTTGACGAGTGTCTCCTCGTCAAACTTACCACGTTCTTCGATCGAAAGTTTGTTAAATCTTTTTTCCCCTTCTTCCATGCTCTTCTTTAGATCAACCTGCATTTTTTTTACGAGGCCGAAAATGAAGGCTATTCAAATGGAAGTAAGTATATACATATCAAAAGAAGGAATTTTCCGTTTTTCAAGAAAGATAAAAAAAAAATACAAATTCCGAAACCTAATAATATTACTCTCCGAATTTAGCTTGCGAACTGATTTTTGCTATATTAATTCACCCGAGCCACTTCAATAAATTACAGGTAACTTGTTTATCAAGTTTCATCACTTACTAAAAACGAAGCACTAATCCCTTGAATTCAAGAAATTCGTAGCACATTTCATTATTTCAATAACTTTCGACAATTTATTTCTAATACTCGTTTGAAGATTTAATTATACAAAATCCAAGGATTTCATAACTTAAACTTACCGACGAATAGGCGGAGATGCAATAATCAGGATGCCGAAGCAAAGCTAGCACCGTCTCTGCAGCCAAAATCAAATTGTTCACAACGAACGATCAAAACGAGAAGCTTATTTACAGTGATGCCATATGTTGATAAAATATTACATGCAACGTATTCTTTGCCTCACAACTACCAAGAAAGTGACGACAATAAAGAAAATATGAAGGCAAAAATCAAGAAAGTAACTTCCATGAAATTAAATGCCTCAACACCATCTGCGGAAAGCTCTTCCTATATATGTATTTTATACCAAATTATACGTTGACCCATCGTTTAGAAAGTCAATTTTTTTTTTTGGGGAACTTGAAGTTTGATAAAGCATATATCCAACTTTACGAACGGTTTATTAACTTGAGTTTTCTGTTGAATAGAAGTTAACATCGGAAATCTATAAAAAAGATCGTATGACATAAAATATTTATGCCAAATTTGGATGATCTATAGACTATAGCCATATGACGAGAAATATTTTACCAGTCAATACATAGTGTAAACCCTCTGAGCTGGATGTATCTGCAGTTTCGGCAATTCGGTTAAGATCCTTTTGGAGTGTTCTCCCCAGACCCAATAACCCAACCTTAAAGGAAAACAAACCAAAAAAAAAAAATCGGAAATCGTAATGAAACTAAAAGAAAATAACAACTGTCGAAACATTTACTAGGACAGTGCACGATGCGGTCAAACCCAACAAAGTGACGACTTATTATAAATGTTTCCTCGAATGGTTCTACGGCAAAACATGGTTGATATTAAATTCAATAAGCTAATAAACCTTCTGCAAAATAACCCTGATTAAATCTATTTATAGTTCGAGTAACAAAGTCGAAAGAAATAACAGGCTATGGAACATTCTTGAATCTAATGATTAAGAGGGTGCTTGGAAATTACTGAAAGGACCTTATAAACTCTAACATCTTATAAGACACTATAGGAATTTATAAGACGCTCGATTTTTTGTTTTTAAAATAAGTTCTTGAAGTATTTAGATATATTAAGATAAAATAACATTCTCTAAATAAAATTTTAGTAATGATTTTTGTTTGTAAGATTTTAGTAATGACATTCTCTAAATAAAATGAAAACATTTAGGGTAAATTACGGCCACTTCACTAAGGTAAGGTCAAATTACGAAAAACCCCCTCCTGTTTGGTTTGGGTAATTACAACCTGCCGTCAACTATGAATCTTCTTACACGTCCACCTTTGCGGTGTCAAAAAAATTAGTGGAATCTTCTAGATTATGTGGAATATTCTCAAGTTTTGTACCCGTTTTATCGTACATATTCTTGCTATCTAAGAGAAAACCACCCAAGTTCCAGTTCGGTTCGATGTAAAGCAAGATAAGTTTTTTTTTCCAAGACCAGGATCGTATTTTTTTTCTCGCCAACCGAGTCCCACATATATGAAAGGACTAATCTGCGAATTGTAGCATTTATCTCTCCTTTTCACACGAAATTCCATTACGTATATATAATCCACGGATAATTAGATGCTACACCTGGTTATTTACACTAAGTGAATTTATCGTAGCTCAGCACATAATCACACACACCCATGTGTATGTGTGCTTAGTGGGTAGTTATTTAATCAAATCCACGGTTCAAATACACCCGATGTAAATAACCAGGTGTAGCATCTAACTCCCTCTAATCCACGTAAAAAATAACTTCCTCAAAGCACGATTTCCAAAAAATCATACATTTTCTCTCTTAGCATTTCCAAGAATGCCGTAACAGCCCTCTTGCATTTCCATTTTTAACCATGCAATTGTATTAACTACATACTAATCATTCGACACCCCATCATCAACCACACAACAAAATTCGATTACCAAACTCAACAAAAAGCACCGAAACAGAAAAAAAAAAATGGAACCATACCTGCAGCTTGATCACAGTTGTTTTCTCGGTAGCGGTGAGCACGCTACCACTATCGGAACCCTCAGACAAGAATCCCGATACCAAAACAAACGCGGCGAACGCGGCAGCGATAAGGAAGAAACTCGACCCCACGCCGACCGCGGGCCCCATAAAACCCCCACCAAATGGAGAAGGCGCATAATACGGCACGGAATACGAGAACCCCGCCCCCACCCCGCCCCCCGCCCCCATCCTGGGCGCGGTGTAGCTCCTGGAAGAAGACATTGACGACGACCTCGAAGAAGAGAACGAGCTTCCGCCCACGCGCCCACCGGAGGCGGCGAGTGCAGAACTCGGGTCGTACATTAGAAGTAACCCTACGAGAACCGCCGCCGCCGCGGGCTTTTGAATCGCCTTGAGGGCTGCTATTATGCCTTCGGCCATAATCTCAACTGGGTTTCTTTTGATTTCGTTAGGTGCTTGATCGGAACCGCCATTGCTGCTGCTGGCGGCGGCGGCGACGGCGGTGGTGGGAAAGAAGCAATTGATTTTGATTTTTTTAAAAGTTGAGCGGATTTTGAAATTGGGGAAGGAAGTATAAAATTGGGATTGAGGAGAATTGTGTAATTGGGTTCTCCATTTGAGGGTTGTTGGCTCTGGTAAGAAAATACTCGGGGCGGTGGCCATGATTTTTTTCTTCTCTTCTTCGAATATCAGAGAAATGGTGGTGGTGATGATTGGATTTGGATTTTAGGATATTATGAAATTGAATTTTCTGGTGGTAGACAAGAAAATTGAAATCTCTCCATATATTCTTTTATTTAAAACTTTTAGGATAAATTACAACAAAACCCCTGATCTTAGGCTAAATTATGAAAATTACCCCCCATCTATTGATTATTACAAAAATCTCTCAGACGTTTGTTTCTATCTTATTTTATAGAATCTTTTTGAGTCCATGGGATATTTACACAAAAAAAATGTCAATTCTACTCCCACAAACGTTGTATTTATGTATGCTACTTTTAAGAGTTAATAGCATTTCGCCACATAGACTTTGCCCGTTTTGCACTTACCACATAACTAAAAAAATGTTGCAAGGGCACACCCAAACTCACTTTTTTTACACACATAACCACCTAAGGGGAATATACCGGCGAATCTTCTCATTTTCCGGCGTACGCGCGATGCACATGCTTAATGGAAGGGTTTTTTGGTCATTTCACCTCAAAATTTTTGTGGGGCCTGTTTCTCTCTCTCTCTCTCTCTCTCTTTCTCTCTCTCTCTCTCTTCCTTCCTCTCTCTCTCTTTCTCGCACACCCACACACATACAGACATCCCCATCATCATCTTCTTCTTCTCTTCTTTCTTTGTGCTTTTCTCAAGAATCAATCTTCGTCCGCCGCCGCCGCTGCGTCCTCTCGAAAATGATGGGGATGAACTGTAGCTCATCAAAGTGGGCTTTCTAGCGGTTCCTGCAGGAGGCCGCCTCCCCCGACCATAACAGCACCACCGTACAACGCAACGACATCGGTGAGATCGAAGCCAACTCCAATCGTAACGATGATAATCCGCGGTGACAGATTGCGGCGTCGGTGGGCCTACCCCCAAATATTCCTGTAGATTTTGAGTAGTATCAGACCTTCCTTAAAAGCCGCCTCAAGCTGCACCGCTGTCACTTTGTCCCCGCTACAAGCTTTTTTTCTTATCCAATTTTATTTTTTAACGAAATAGGGAAAATAGTGGAATTCCATCTTTGAGGATACTATACTGATAATTTGTACTATATGCTTTATGTTGTGTACCTTATAGTTCTTTCCACATGTTTAATCTCCATCTTCTGTATAATTTATGATATTTACTACAATATGAGTTCTCTATATCTATATATTTATTCTTTTACTTACAAATACTTAAAAATGGATATCAATTTGTGCTTGTTAAGGTGGATGATGCTTTGGACATATTTGAAGAAATGGTCAATAATGGAATCAGACCTACGATTTATACTTTCACAGTTCGCATCACAACATTGCTCGCTGAGTTTCTTTTGGGAAAATATTGATTCTTGAGAAAAGCACAAAGAAAGAAGAGAAGAAGATGATGATGGGGATGTCTGTATGTGTGTGGGTGTGTGTGTGTGTGTGAGAGAGAGAGAGAGAGAGAGAGAAAATAAGAGAGAGAATGAGAAGAAAGAGTAAAAATAGGGCTCACAAAATTTTTGAGGTGAAATGAACAAAAAACTCCTCCATTAAGCATCTGCATCGCGCGTGCGTTGGAAAATAGAAGATTCGCCTCCTTAGGTGGTTATGTGCATCAAAAAGGTGAGTTTGGGTGTGCCCGTGCAACTTTTTTTAGTTTAAGCGGTAAAGTGTAAAAACGGGCAAAGTCCAAGTGGCGAAATGCTATTAACCTTACTTTTAAAGATAAAAATTACATTCAGAGAGAGAAGTAACAGAATACTAAAAAGTTGTGAAAGTGTTGTTTAAGAAGAAGGGCAAATTGCATATCACGCCCTATAAGTTTTTAATTTTCGCTCTTTACCCCCTCAAAATTTGAAAAAGTAAATGTCCCCCTTCAACATGTTATACTTGTTGCACATTGCCCCAATAGCAAAATTCCGATGGATTTTTAACCGAAATTGGGTGTTTTTTTTTGCATGTTGCCCCTTTAAAAGTTATTTTTGTTGCATGTTGCCCCTTAACATTTTTCTACACATTGTCCCTTTAAAATGTTATTTTTGTTTCACAATGCCCCAAAAAAAATGGCTTTTGGGGCAAACTACAACCAAATCAATATTTCGAGGGGGGTTATCTCTTTTATGAATTTGTAAGGGGGAAAGTGCCGAAATGAGAATTTTATAGGGGGTGAAGTGCATTTTGTCCTAAGAAGAATAAACATTTCGTGTAAAGGTCGCTCTAATGGTAATTTTTTTGTATTTAAAAAAGTAGCATAAAGAAATGACACGTCTACATGGGTAGAATCGGGAATTTTTTTTGGTGTTCAATGGACATAAAATAATATGAGATGGATCGGTAGGCTAGGACTAGGGGTGAGTTAGGGACGGGATTTCGGGAATTTGGGATTTTCGGGATTGGAATTTCGGGACTCGTGATAGAAATTTTAAATTTCAATCCCGTCCCATACTATTAAATCCCGGTATGTCGCTATCTCTAAATATTTCGAGAATTTGGGATTGGGATCTGGAAATCCCATATTTTGCCTAAAAAGTAAGAAATATTGCATTTTTTTTTTCATTAGTATTATTTATACACTAAACCAACTTGAATATATTATATACATATTATTGTTCTTGCACTATTTATTTTTACCACAAAATTTGGAACAAATAAAATTTAAAAAAATTAAAAATAAGTTGAAACGATATGTTATATTGTATTTCTCATCTCCTTGACACTATATATTAATTACAAATGCAATCTACCATAAGAAAAAAGTTAAACAACCATTTGTTTTATTTCCCACAAAAAAGTTAGAACACTCACGGGCACACCACACACCAAAAGAAATTAAAAAAAAAATAGAAAAACTAAAACGATATATATATATATATATATATATATATATATATATCGTTTTAGTGTGTGTGTTTATTAGTTTTTTTTTTCTTTTTTTCCTAATTCGGGATTAAAATATCCCGATCGGGTTGAACCAATTCCTGAATCCCGTAATCCCGAATTCCTGAAGTTTTAGTCCCAAATAGTAAAATTCCGATCGGGACGGGACGGAATCCCGAATCCCGATCCCAAATGCCCAGCCCTAGCTAGGACATAAAATAATAGGGCAAATTACACATCACCCCCTAAAAATTTCTAGTTATTGCACTTTACCCCCTCAAAATTTAAAAAAAAGTGAATGTCCCCTTCAAAATGTTATTCTTGTTGCACATTGCCCCCATATCGAAATTTCGATGGATTGTTCATCGTGATTGAGCATTTTTGTTGCACGTAGCCCATTTATATGTTAGTTTTGTTGCACGTTACCCCTTAAAAACATTATCTTTTTGCACATTGCCCCTTCATAATGTTATTTTTGTTGCACAATGCCCACAAAAAAATGGCTTATGGGGCAAAGCGCAACCAAAATAATATTTTGAAGGGGGATTATCCAGTTTTCGAATTTTTCGGGGGAAAGTGTGAAAATGAGAAATTTGTAGGGGGTGAAGTGCATTTTCTCCAAAATGATGACATACAGAGAATGAGAATTAGTATCGGAGATATTAATATTAAATGATACATTTCATTAAAAGTTTAAGTTTTTGGTTCAGATGTCATTTATTATGGTATCAACGACAAACTAAATGAAAGGTCCTGACTTTGAATCTCGCCGCTATCCATTTCAAATATTTCAAGTGCAGAACTTCAAATGTAATTCTTTTGCACTTGAGGGGGCTTATGCGTATTGGAGATATTAGTATTAATTAATACATTTCACTAAAAGATTATTTTTTTGATTGAGATAGTCATTTAGCAGCTAGATGGCTCGTGTATGCAATATAAGTGAATATATGGCTCGTGTTTATAATTCGGTAATATTTACAGATTAATGAAGGATAAGACATTTATAGTTGTTTGTGTATGATTATATTTCACTAAAAACTTAAGCTTTAGATGGCTCTGTGTATGTACGTGTATATATGGCTCGTGTTTATGATTTCGTAATATTTACATAATTAAAGAGGTAAAAACATTTAAAGTTGCTTCGGTACTTCTAGTTTCGTACATGGTTATCTCTAGAAAAAATATCTTAATTATTCAGTAATTCAACAAATTATAATATTTGGTATTTTTCATGGGCAAATTGCATATCACCCTCTAAAAAATTCTAATTTTTGCACTTTACCCCCTCAAATTTTTAAAAAGTGAATGTGCCCCTTCAAAATGTTATTCTTGTGCACATTGCCCCCATATCAAAATTTCGATGGATTATTCATCGTAATTGAGTATTTTTGTTGCACGTAGCTCCTTTATATGTTATTTTTGTTGCAAGTTACCCCTTAAAAACATTATCTTTTTGCACATTGACCCTATAAAATGTTATTTTTGTTGCACAATGTCCACCAAAATTTGGCTTATGGGGTAAAGTGCAACCAAAATAATATTTTGATGGGGATTGTCTAATTTTTGAATTTTTAGGGAAGAGAGTGCGAAAATGAGAAATTTGTAGGGGATGAAGTGTATTTTGTCCTTTTTTAATAATAATACTCTTGGAATATGTATTCATCATTCTATATTGTACAAAAAAAAAAGATAAGAACTACTTAGACATTCGAATAAGCAATATTGTCCAACAATTATGTCACATGTGTTGAACATATATATGTCTAATATTGTTATTAACACGTGCAATATGTGGTAAAATTATCCACAACACAACATATAATAAATTAAGAAGTAATCAAGATGATCAAATATTCCGTGACAAACGCACAATTTTATTTATATTGCATATAACGAGCACAACTACATCAAGATAATCAAAACATCCTCTAAAATTAACTAGTTCATCCAATAGAAATAACATTGTCTACAACTACAAATTTTGATGTTAATATGGAGTTAAAAGATGTGATTTCCATGTGTAAAAACTTAGTTTCTTTAAGAAGGTTGCTAGGCATGTTGATCTTGATTTTCGGACGCTTGTAAGCTAGTAAATTTTCTATCGAAGAAAGGTTACTACTTGACAAGGAAATTTATTAATTAACGTGTAAAGGAAAATAATTATTAT